GGAGGAGTTGGAGGGGAGGGAGTGGGCATGGATTTGATCAAAACACCTTATATGCATGTATGAAATTCTCAATAAATTATTTATTTAAAAAATTTATCTTTTAGATTCAAAAGCCAGTGCCAAGTTTTGACTCTATAATGACTTTTTAAAGCAATGGGCTTGGCATGCATAGGTGAGTGGTAAGGTCATATGGGCCCTACTTCCTAAAGAACACCCCGTCTTGTTGGCTTTTGTCTGAAGAGAAATCCAGCAACCTATACTGCTCTCTTTCTGCCAGGCCAGAATCATCTTATTTGTTGGTAAGCAATAATGAGACAATGTCCGGGACAAAATCTCTAAGCATATGGGCACAGTCGGTGTGCATATTAAAAATATCCCAATACAAAAATAATGTGGCAAGTGATTAGGCTTTATGATACCCCAGTCTGTGCTGGTAGATGTTCATAACCACACTAGTTAGGAAAGATGTGTGCTCAGAGAGCACTCTGTAGCACAATTCAAATAACATTAAATGACACATCCCACGGCATCAGCATGAGGCACTCCTTGGGGGCTGGGGAGATGCCTCACTGGGTAAAGTGCATGCTGTGTAAGCATAAGGACCTGAGTTTGGGTCCCCAGAACCCATTTGAAAGTTGGGTATGGTGGCAGGTACTTGTAATCTCAGAGCTGTAGAAACAGATGCAGGAGGATCCCTGGGGTTCACTGGCCCATCAGCCTAATTGGTGAGGTCCAGTTTCAGTGAGACTGATCTCAAAACAAAAAGGTGGATAGCTTCTGAGGAATGACACATGAAACTGACTTCTGGTCTCCACAGGCACACACATTTCAATGTGTACCTTCACACATGTGTGCATGCACACACAGAGAATAGTTCACCCAATGAGTTCCTGCTTGTATAAGCAGCATCAGATCCATTAGAGCATCAGGCATCCCTCACACTCCATGAGGCTAGCCACCACTGAACTGCTGGGTGGCGCTGTACCATGGGGAGCTTGAGGAATGTCATTGGGCAGAGGGAATATAAAGTGAGAACAGACTGCACAGTTTCCACTGCACCCCCAAAGCCCCGTTTTCTTCTTCATTCAATGTAAGCTGCCTACACATGTCAGGCGGTCTGGAAGACCCTGACATTCTGCAGTGGGATTTAGCAAGCAGTGTTTTAAGCTCATGCTGTTCTCTGACAAACTGCTTGAGAGGTATGAAAAGAAAATGCAAGGTCTTGCAGAAATTCAGGTGTATTTTTAAAAGTTGTTTCTCTCGGTGGCCTGAAAATTAGATTCTGGTGCCGGGAGGGGCGGGGGTGGGCAGGGGGAGTTGAAGGGATTTTGTTTCTTCAACTGCGCATTTTCTGACACTGTTCAAATGTTGTCAGCTGCAAGCATCTAACTCAAACTCTGGTGAGCTTCAGGAATGATCAGCACAGCGGTGGCAACTGCATAAGTGAAGGGCTCAGGTCCCACATTTCATCAACAGGAGCTCCCGCCCACCATTCCTACTCTCTAGTGCCTGGAAAAAGGCAGAATAATAAAGACAGCCATCTTCGCCTTCAAGATGCAACTCTAACGGGCCACAGGGCTTAAGGGAGATTGCATGCATGATGGAAAAGTAAAGTCATTCTGGCATGTTTCATACTTGTTCCAAAAAAAAGCAAACTCTTACGCTGTGGAGATAGCTCATATGTGGAGTTCCTGCCACAGAACCCATGTCAAAAAAAAAAAAAAAAAATGCAGCCAGGTGTGATGGCTCATGCTTATAATCCTAGCACTCTGCCTCTCGGGAGGCAGAGATGAGAGGATCCCCGGGTCTCACTGGCAGCCAGCCTAGCTGACCAGTGAGTTCCAGGTTCAGTAAGAGACCATGGCCCCTCAAAAGAACATGAATGGTGCCTGAGGAATGAAAGCTGAGGTTGTTCTCCACATGAACAAAGGTGTACATTCACCTCTACATACATGAAAACACACATAAATGCACACCATGCACAGTAACCTCTCACAGTTTCAACACAGATCTCATAAGCATATGCATTACAGGAACATTTTACTATGGGCAATCCTACCTTCAAATTCCGTGTCTCTGTAATGGAAGTGCAGCCATACATCTGAATCCAAAATTACAAAACTACAGACTTGATGAAGTGAGAATGCATAACCCTATAGAGGAGTTCATGTATTCAAATAAAGCCATCCAAAGCTATAAAGCTTAGTTGGTTTCAAATAGTTTTCAACCAAAGGGGAGAACTCAGCGGATAAAATGCTTGTTGTACAAGCAGGATGACCTGAGTTCAGATACCCAGGGCC